TGCCGGGCGGAATAATAGACGGTAATGCGCCCAAACCGATGATGCCGGCGAGGGCGCTCTGGACTTTCGATAGCATGTCATGGCGATGGGCCGCTTCTGATTGGGTTTCAGAGGGCGCGACGGACCGCGAGTCGGAGTCGCTGCCGCCTCTGGATAAGAGATGTCTCATATGCATCTTTCAGGCTGATGTTGCCTCTGTTGCTGGCGTTGTCGATATTGTTGAGTTTGTATAGTGATGTATCGTTTTGTGATCTAGCCCTCAATGGCTTTGAAGCCCCCACTGACAGCGCCTTCGATTTGTAAGAAGTCGTCCTTGCCTCGTGACAGGAATATTTGGCAACGCCAAGCCCCGTTGTTTGCATGAGGAGGGTCGGGAAGGATCGACTCTTTATATCCTTCTTTTTTTCGAAATGTCTCACAAGCTCACAGCTGGAAGCACTGTGGAACGAGATCGTCGGAAGTCGCGGCAACAGTTACCGTACGTATTTTCTGTGTTGGGTCAGCTGAGATTCGGCTTTCGAAAATGGATCACTGATCGTTATGTCCCCAAGGCAGGGGGGTTCATTGGGGGGGTAACTGTACTCCGAAGTGCGGCGATGCAAGGTCGACAGTGTGGCGTTGAGCAAAAAATGGCGGGCGAGACGCGCGTGGTTTCGTGGCGCAGTCAACGAGGGCAGCTGATCATTGTTCAAGATCCCAGACGGGCATCTTGGGTCTGCCATTTCATCGCCCGTTTTGATGTTGTTTGTCTGCCTATGTTTGTAAGCAGATGTTTAACATAGGTAGTGTAGTCTTTTGGCATCGAAGGTTGCCCGTAACGATCATTATAGCGGCGAGAAGGAGTCTCTCTAGCGCTTTCCGGGGGACAACAACAAGCCCAGGCCCAGGGCATGGAGGTCCACAGCGGCACGGATGCTGACTTGCATATTTCAACCGTTGCATGTTACAAAAAGCCGACCCCATGAAGGCATCATGAGATCTGAAAGAGAATGAAAAAAGCACAGATTCAGTACAGTTGTGTAGCGTAAGAAGTCTAGGTACGATGTTCAGCCCGAATCTGGTGGAGAAATGGAAAGTACACAGTGTAGGGGCTCTAGGCGCCCAGACCACTTCCCCAGGCACTGTAGATCGTTGACGTCACAGGACACCAATGTTTACTTCCTTCGAAAACCAACTTCCACTTCGACTTTTACGAAACAACATTCAACAATCAAAACATCAATCTCGAGAAATTCGGACATAGAATGCTCCTCAGCCGGGTCCTACCCAAGCCAACTTCGATATTCCGTGCCAGCCAGCCAAGAACACTTCGCCTGCCACAGACCGTTGCCTCTACAACCCTTACACCAACTTTCAGAAGGAACCCTCTCTTCCAGACATTCATCATGAGCATCCACATGAAGGGCCGTTGCGTCTGCAAGAACTTGCAGTACTCGCTAGAACTTGAGTCTCTCGATGATGCGAGAACCACACTTTGCCATTGCAACAGCTGCAAGAGGGCGTTTGGAACCAACTATGGTCTTACGACAAAGGTCCCCCTCCAGGGCTTCAAGTACGAGACCGGCACTCCGAAGAAGTTCAAGCAACACAATGGTGTTACAAGGGAGTTCTGTGATAACTGTGGTGCTTATATCTGCGAATACGGGGTAAGATCATGGTCAACGTTGTATATCATGGGCAACAATCACTCACGCTTTCCACAGCAAGAGGCAGCGGACAAGTTCCGGTATATCATGTGGGGATCGTTTGACGAGCCGGAAAAGGTGCCTCCCAAGGGCGAGTTCTTTTGCAAGAACAAGCCAAAGTGGATGCCCGATATTCCAGGTATGGTTCAAGAAGATGATTCTGGCGTGAGTGAAGTATCCGTCAAGTGTAGGATCTAACCGAATTGCAGACACCTTCCGGAAGCAGGAGATCAAGGAGTAAGGGGTTTGACGGCATGTATGACGAGAAATAACAACGGGATGAGCTTATGAATAATGATCTCTTAGCATTGAAACATTATTAGGTAACCTTCAGCTAATGTCTCACCATCTCCTTCCCGTGCTGAAGTTGGTGTGGATCAACGATAATCGCAGCCCTTCCCTGGAGCTTTCCGCTTGATACCACCTTCTCCAGCTCCTCGACCTGATCCAGCCCATAGAACGGAGTCATTTTTACCTTGACTCCACGTTCAGCGACAAACTTCAACAACTCTTCACTTTCCTCTCCCGAACACTGCAAGCTTCCCTTGATCCTCACATCCCTTAATATCAGCTCCATGAACGGAATCTTCACCTCCAATGGCTGAGCAACCTGCACCATCAAGCCATGCATCTTCGTAATCGCACAGGCCAATCCAGCCGCGTCATCCGCGTCAGACAGATTAACAGTAGCATCAACACCTCCCGTAGCAAACAACCCATTATGGTCTACGTCCTTCCCGTCATCCTCCAGCACCGCCTTTCCAACCTCCCTCACGACCTCATCCTTCCCCTTCCTCGCATCAACAACGGCGTCCGCCCCCATCTCTCTCGTCAGCTGCAGACCCTCATCCCTCGCCTCGATACCCACAACCTTCAACCCCATCTTCGTCGCAAACTGCACCGCCAAGTGTCCCAACCCGCCTCCCGACCCGACTATCCCCAACCACTGCCCCGGCTGCAATCCTGCCTCCTTAACCGCTCTCCACGCCGTTCTGCCCGCGCACCCCAGCGGCGCCGCCGCCAATAGCGAGACGCCCTCTGGAATGACCGTGCTCGTCCGACTACCGCGTACTCGGCAAACACCCCGTCGGCTTGGATCCCAATGTGTCCATCGATATGCGCACAGTAATGCTTGTAATGCTCTCCTCCTCCAGCAGCCGTGCAATCCACGCACGATCCACAAAGTCCCAAAGGGATACCGCACATGACGCGATCACCCGGTTTGAATGAGCCATCGGCTGCGACAGAGGAGCCGACGGCTACCACGGTTCCGGAACCTTCGTGTGATCCGGTCAAAGGGAGTGGGATGCTGGGTACGGCGCCCAGGCGGATGATGGTGTCGGTGTGGCAGTGAGAGGCGACAGCGACTTTTACGAGGAGGTCGTGAGGCCGGAGGGTGGAGGGGAGGGGACGGGGATGGAGGTTTGAATGTAGGGAGCACCGAAGGAAGTTATGCGGAGGGCTTGCATTGAGGCGGGGAGGGAGGGGGTTAGTTCGGCCATGATTTTTTTTGCTTGGTGTGGGTTGGTGCCGTTTGCATCGTGAATAAGATGGAGAATGTTGTTGAGTGAAACGGTGTTGAGGTGTGAAAAGAAAGAAGGAAGGTTTAGGTCCTAGGATGCCATGGACCCGCTTCGACACGTTGTCACTGCCGTTTCTCCGCAGTAGATTGGCGGGATGAGCTGTGGTTGGTAGGAAATCGAACGATGCGGCCGTCATCAATTCACGACTACGAGTGGCCCGAAATACCTATATAAGGTACCTACAGCTGATTTATCACAAGGACATCAGACTTGGTTTGATACAGTCTCGGCAGTCATGGTGAGATGGCTGACTGCACGTCGCCAACCGATATATTAACCGACCAATATCGGGTTCCCCATCAAAGTGTCAAATACGACATTGTTTGAGACACCATCATCTCACGTGGAATTGAGACAGAGGTACACACAGAAGTGGCGGGACATGTTGGGAATGTTTCAGGTGAGATATCTTTGTTAAATGTTCCTTTGTCTCAGCTTATTCCGAAAAGAGATTGCGCGGGAGAGCTTCAGTGGACGCAAAGGCTTTGTGTTCAACAAAGAGAGTACGGAATCACGGTTCTCTCTGGGACTCAACATGTGTGCACCAGAGATGTCTCCCATTTCAACATCAAATTACCGAAAATTCGACAGCATTCACAGCTTCACACTTATAGCTTGGGCTAACCGTTCCCGATCTTAACAGGAAGGCATCCGATCAGCAGCATCCTTCAACAGCATCACTCAACCTTTTCTTCCGTTCTTTCCATTTAACCACTTATTGCAGCAACTTGCCGGTCAAGTTCGCAATCTTCCCACCTCCCTACCACTTGTAATAACATTTAATAACCCACATCTCCGAGCCGGCCACTTCACAACCTATTCTCCCTCCCAGTCTCCCAGAATTTAACCCTCCCTGGCCATCTCCAATCCCCAATTGTCTGCCAGTTCCAACAGTTTCAACAAACACCGTCTCCCAGCCAAACCAGTCAAACCTACTGCCGGAAACCAACAAGAAGATGGAACTCAAACGCAAAGCCGACAGCGTCAGCACTTCTTCGGACTCCTCATCCCCCACCAACTCTCCGCAGCCCTCTCTTCCATCACTGCAACTCCCATGCATTTCAACGGGGCTAGACAGCACCGCCTCGCCTCCCAAGAAGATCAAGATAATCATCAAGCCGAGAGTGGAGGTGGAAGAATCGCCGATTCTGGGACATGGTGTTCAGCCCAACTTTGCGAATGTTGACTGGGTCGGACCTGGAGGAACTGATGCCGGCGTGGGAGGAGCCATGGGAGTGGTGGGCTGTGGTAGTAGGCCGGGCTTGGAGGAGGTATCACCGAAGAGTATGACCTTTTCTGGGAGTAGATGAACCTAAAGTTAAACCGGGAACCTGGAAGGAGGAAAGGAAGGAAGACGAAAGGAGGCAAAGATCGTTCATGTGGTGTTGTCCTCAGTTGGGAAAACGGAAAACTAAGTGTATGGGGGCGATGGGAATTTTGCATATTAGGGTCTGCTGGCGGACTGGATGGAGCTTCATTAGCGAAAGGAAAGAGCAATTGATTCAAACCTTGAGTGTGGAACGTTATGTGTATACTTGCGAAGAAATAAAAAGAAGGAAACTACAACTCCTCCTCAACATAATTGTCCACATTCATTCAACATAACCACTCCCTTTTCGGCGACCGTACCAGACATTCAGCAACAGGAAAAAGATGTGTAACCGAAAATGAAGGAAAAGGATAAACAAAGAGAGGAAACCGAGAAGACAAAAAAGCAAAAGAAGAATTTAAGTGACAAGAGTGGGATTCGAACCCACGCCCTTTCGGACTGCGATACTCAAGAAGATCCTGAACACAGCGCCTTAGACCGCTCGGCCATCTTGCCTTGGTTGTTGTTGAAGATCAAAGGCTAAAGTTGTAGTGATATTGAGGAAGAGCTGCTTGGTTGGTAGTACGATGCAACTTCGAGATTGCCGGATTCGTTGCGTCCTGATGTGTGTTTTATTTTTTTTGTCCGTCGCGACATCAGTCTTGGTGATTCAAGTGTTCTCTTCTTCTCTCGCAGTTGCTGACCGCAGTTCTGTTTGGGCGTTTAGTCTGTTCATGTTCATGTCTTAAACTCAATCCGCGATGATGCTGTGATGTTCCGTCTAGGTCAACCTGGTTCTTCTCCAGGGCTCCGGCTTCGGTTCGAGATCCAGCTCGGGGCCCTTCAGTATTCCATTCTTCTTGAGGAGCTCGTTCGCCATGAATCTCTTCTATCGGCACTTCCCCATCGGATAGCTTAACATCCGTACGGAAATCCATGGAAAATAGGCAAGCGGTAAGATGCAAGTAGTGAAAGTGGCCCGGAAGTGAGACTTCCCATCACCTAGGAATAGAAATCAACGACGAGATGCTGTATCTTCCACGTGCTGTGTAGGACTGTCCCTTGGGTGTTACTTAGCTAGACACACTGTGTAAGATCCTTGGCAAGTTCGATGTCGTGCAACTGTCCGTCACGACTCAAAACCCGCCACAACGGTTCTTCGGCTCTTGTATTGCGCTGCTGGCATTGGTTGGAAACCGGATGTGTGACCAACAGGGCAATGCACAGTGTGTTTATACCCGTAAGCTCTAGGGCTCACCTCCTCCTCGGAAACACCTCGTCCCGGATGCGGAGTCGGGTTGTCACCGGGCATGTCGGACTTCCGGCCGGGCCACCGCCTCCACTCAGTGATTATCAGCCTCTGGCCTTTGGATCGCATCAGTGTGAGGATCAGGCCAATTTGTGCCATGTCCAACGAACTGTTTCCCCTAGCGGTTACTTGCAGAGGAGGAATGCGTTCCCATGTTCCATATCACGACACTATCGAAATCTGAAAACGGAAGTTGGTGATGAACGGAAGCTGAGATTTGAGGGGAACGTGACACTGTCAGTTCCCTTTCCTAAATGTGATCGGACACAATCCAGGGTCCCGAATAACATGGACCTTCCAAATTTCAACCCTGCAATTCTGACGGTTAGGTAGTTCGCATCTTCACACGTGTCGTGGTTGCATGTAAAGATCGATTCGTGGAACTCACCATCGTACTCGCCTCGCACGCCTCGCTACCTCCATCAGCTCGCGTAGCGCACAGTATCGAGAAAGCCAGAGATGACTTGACAGCTTTGACAGCTTGCGCCGTTTACTGCCAACAGACCCGACCATCTGGGCCTTGGAACGCTAACGAGTTCGCTCGGTAGGGGTTACGACCAATTAATCAATCTAATGCTGGTTTGTTTATTAGCGTAGTACTCCTAGCATACTGTCTACGATCTATCCCAAACTATCCCATACCTTAGAAGGACAAGATGTAATGGCTAGGTACGAACTGAAAAGGCATTAACAGAGATCAAGATGGCATATGCAAGGTAAGACCACGCCTTTGATATAGAACGAAATGAATCAATCAGATATCAAAATACTTAGGAAGGTTGACCAGATGTCCCGGGCTAACCAACAAACCAGTATTGGACTGTATGTAGGTCATCGGGGTAGAGTGTCTCATCTGACTTGCACACCTGCAAGTTCGATCGGTATCTTTTTAGATGAAGCCGGCCTAGTGCCAGACCCATGGGGTGTCTGGGATGGAGTGATGAAAAGAAACGGACGAGGGAAAGAGAAATCGCCCCAACTGTGAAACATGCAAGTGTAGAAGCTAGTGGTATCGGTGAACGGGTAGCAAATTGAAGTGTAAAAAAGTGGTGGACAAAGAACGCTTGACGGGAGTGCTCATGACCGTTCCAGACCTCCGGGTGCCCGCCCCTGATTCTTACACATGTCTGGTTTTGGTAAGGCTTTCCATCCCATATCCGCCATGAATGCTGCCAAATATGCATGATCCCAACTTCGGATGGAAGCGAGGATGAATGTGGTCAGCGCCAGCCCAGGCACCCGCCTGGGCGAGAGGTCCCTGCCCTCGCAGAACGTTGTTTTGAGCTACAAAACTCCTCGGCCTGTATAGGTAATTACTCCCATCTTCCCTTGTCTGAACCACTCATGGAAGGCTGAGAACCACCAGCCCAAACCTTCACCATGCTTTCCTCGGGCCTTAACAAGATTCTACTTGGTGCCCTCGCCCTCACGATCGCAGGAAGCTGCACTCTGTTGACTCCGTCATCCGACGTTGCCGTAAGACCCCAGCCAGATGTCCTGAACGCTTTCTTCCAATCTGAATCCAAGCTGACATTCTCCTCATCCAGTGCAAAGCCATCCAGCTTGCTCTCCCTCCTGGGCGCGTTAACTACCCCGACTCTTCCGCCTACGCCAAGGAGAACACGTACTGGTCCAGCCGCCAAACCGACAACATCGCACCCGCCTATTTTGTGGCGCCTAAGAATGCGTTTGAAGTCGCGACGACCGTGAAGGTACTTGTTTCGCTTAACACTCAGTTCTCCGTCAAGGGTGGGGGCCACACCGCTTTCGCAGGCGGCTCCAACTCCGATGGCGGCGTCACCATCGACCTGATGTACCTCACTGCCCTCAACGTGTCATCAGACCGTAAGACGGTATCGATCGGCGCTGGAAACAGATGGATCAACGTCTCCGAGGCTCTTGATACACAGGGGCTCGTTGTCGTGGGCGGCCGTGTGGCTGATGTGGGTGTCAGCGGTCTGATTCTCGGCGGAGGTGTATCGTACTTTTCCGGAATGTACGGTTGGGCTTGCGACAACGTGCGCAACTACGAGGTCGTTCTCGCTTCCGGACTCATCGTCAATGCTTCTCCCACTAAGAATAAGGATCTGTATTGGGCGTTGCGCGGCGGAGGCGGCTCCAACTTCGGCATCGTGACACGGTTCGACGTGGCGGCGTACGAGCAACCAGGCGGTAATATCTGGCACAACAGTCTCATCATCCCCGGCGCAGCCAACGCCTCCGCCATCACCATGTACCAGAATCTGACCGTTAACGGCATGCCCGCTGACAACAAGGCACACAGCTACATGGTCTTGACGCATATGGACATGCTGGGTGGCTACGCTGTGATTAGCGACCTGTTCCACGCAGACTTGCCCAACACATCGGATAGTGCGCATGAGGAGGTCCCTGGAGTGTTCCAGCCTTTCGAGTCCCTGCCAACCATCATGAAGACCAAATCCATCGTCAACGTGTCGACCGTGTCTCGTGAGATTGACATCCCATACGGTTCCCGTCAGACATGGTGGGACACGACAGTCAAGGCTACTGATCCTTCCCTTCTTATTGACATCGTATCTCTCTGGCAGGACCATGTCGAGAAGCTTGTAGCCGCCGCAAAAGGCACTGCGGTGACTCCCTTCTTGGCGTACCAAGCTATCCCCCTCAACGTGCTGAAGGCCATGGAGGCAAACGGTGGGAATGCGATGGGTCTGAAGCAGAGCGACGGCCCCCTGATGCTGATCCAGTTGACGGCACAGTGGGCGGATAGTGCGCTTGACGACTCGATGGAGAGCAGCTCTGAGGAAGTCATTGGTAAAATCAACGACCTTGCTAAGAGCAGGGGCATGAATCATGGCTTTGTCTATGTCAACTACGCCGGCAATAGACAGAGCGTGTTTGAGAGTTATGGAGCGGATAATCACGCCAAGCTGAAGCAAGTCGCGCTGAAGTGGGATCCTAAGGGCATTCTGCGGAAGCTGTGGAGGGGATACTTCAAGCTGTGATGGATATTGATATCGCAACACGCAGCCGATGGTTTATTCGCCGCGGATTTCTAAGTGATTCTCAGTAAGCGGAGTACCGACGTATTTGAGCTTTCGCATCCGCACATTGATGGTGTGCTGAGGATATCTATACTGGAAAGATGGTCAGACAACCGCTTCGGCTTATATATTATCATAGCGAGGAAGCATACATACATTCTCGTCCAAATGTACGATGCGAACCGTTCTTATTAAGTGCCGAAGAAATAAACCGAACATGTTATGGTCAGTACACTACGCATCCAAGCGTCTTTTTCATGCCTTTAAATCCAATATTTAGGCTTTTTTTTTTCGTATGGAAGAGCGCCTGATGGACTCTGTCCAATGCGTTTCTTATGTCATGTGATCCCTATAGCTGTTTTGCGACGGCCTTTCGTAGCCAAAGCAAAGCGTGGTGGACTGTCCATGTTCGGGTTATTTTTGCGACCCCTTCGGGTGCATAATGTGTTACCCGGTTTCATACCATCACTGCTCTGAGTTAAGAATATCTTTGCAACAAGTGAGCCGCTCACATGCCTCTTGAAGAAGTTCCGAGTTGGCTTCATAGAGGACTGAGCATAGAACGTCAAGCAATTCAGGCAACCCATCCTTGAGACCGGCTGCGGCCGACTCCGGCAGCTCGGAAAGAGCTGCGACTTTGGAGAGATAAGCGGCAACGCGATTGAAGTTGACTTGCTCAGGCTTCCTGGAGCGAGAACGGATGTGCGAAATGGGCACAGCACTAGTAAGTGTAGAGGCACGTACAAAGCCCCATATGCTTAGGGCAGCGATATACATGATCCACGGCCGGTGTGGATCAGGCTCATTGCGGCAAGAATATGGTTGCATGGTGATCGGTGGAAGCCCATGGGTTTTGTTTTGCCAACTCTGCTCGCCCTTGTTTCCTCGTGGATCAACAAGGATGCAATGTAGTACTTTGTAGGCGTGAAGAATCGCATGGCGAGTGCCTGACATGCTTGCCCAGGCCTTCATCTTGGGCACAATCTTGGTATAGGCTTGATCGGTTATTTTTTGGCCCAAGAGACGTTTCGCGCCGCCAAGGATCTGGCAGTCCAGAATGTCAGCAAACAAACTGAAGTGCGCCAGATGATAGAGCACCGCGGCACTTTGTATCGGGCCGTTTGAACCGGCATATGGCACAATGGGATCAACCATGTTGGACCCTCCCAGAGACCCCTGGG